ACCCATAATATAAATGGTAAGACAAACAACTGAAGTCTACCCAGATACAGATTGTATGTGATGTAGTGATCCTATTTCACAATTCAGTAAAACTGAAGATCAATAGAAGACAACTCCAGAAATCTAGCTAAATGCTAATAAACTTCCATTGAAAACTTCCATTATGTATGGCTTCCCCTTGCTAATTAATATTGCAGGTATGATCTCATAAGGGGATAATATGGCTCTATATTATTCTTTATAACTTTATTAATTACGAAGAACATGTTTACAAATGACTATCAGCCATGGGCCACTATTAACTCCCTTTATCACAGGTGACAGACCTTGATTAAGGTATTTGCCTGCACCAGGGGTAGGGAAACTTGGCTCTTTTATCACTTATGGACTTCAACTCCCAGAATGAGTGAGCCATAAAAGGTTCCCCATCCTTTATTTTTGACTTGAATGGGACTGTTTAATATACAAATGTAGGACATAAATGTAGGACATAAACAGTCCCATTCAAGACAAACATTGATTTCCCCCACAACTGAAAAACCAACAGTCCAGGGATGGGGAACCTTTTATGGCTCACTCAGGAATTCTGGGAGTTGAAGTCCATAAGTGATAAAAGAGCCAAGTTTCCCTACCCCTGGCCTGAACCAGGGGTGGGATTCTACCAGTTCGGACCAGTTCTATAGAACCGGTTGTTACAATTCTGCACAGTTAGGAGAACCGGCAAATCACACCAGTGGCTGGCCTCTCCCCACCCACCCCACCCAGGAGGTTTCCCTGAGGCCCAGTCAGGTGGTATTCAGGGGGTTGGGGGAGGGAGAAGTGGCTTGAGAGCAGAGCTGAAGCTTCCTTAGGATTGAAGCTTCTATTTTTCAGTGCAGACTCAGGCAGCAGATTGCAGAAAGGTAGATCTGGGAGTGAAGCTGTGATTCTGCAAGCAGCTCAATCTGCCTGCCTGCTTTGCCTGATTTTGGGTAAAAGTTGCTCCTTTTTAAAATAAAAAACCCAATCTTTACATATATATTTACAATATTTACATACAAGCCATGCCCAGCCAGTCACATGGCCACCAAGCCACACCCACAAATTAGGCCATGCCCACAGACCCGTCTGTTAAGAAATTTGAATCCCACCCCTGGCCTGAACAAATGGAATACTATATGCTCTATACACTTCCTGCCTCTTTTCAACTTGCCAATATTCAGGCAGGAAGTTTTTAGTGCCTTTATTCTCATAGACCTAAAAGTACAGAGGATGGGGAGAGACTGAACTGCAGTAAAGGCTTCAGTCTCTCCATAGTTTGAGCCCTCTGTATATTTAATAAAAGAGACTCTGCAACTTGATCTCCAAATTGCTGTTACAAATGCTGCAAGTGTATTACTGGGCTTCTCACTGTCAAATGTAACAAAGGAAAAGTGGGACCTGAACAGAATATTTCAGTGTCCAGTGTTCTTATTCACAATAGACAGCCAACTGGCTAGCAACTGTCTCTCACAGATTTTATTGTTCCTATCTCATCCCAGGTTACTTTTAAGTTTATAAAATAGAATGAACATGATTTGTCTGTTATATTTTGTGGATTCTAAGCATATCTCCATAAGGTGTTGGGAAGGATATAATTTTGGCTTCATATTTGAATACAGTATTAGTTGTAATTTAATATTCTCTTAATAACATATAAATATGTATTTGATTAACGTTTGTAGCTTGTTACTATTATAAGGAGATAATGGCTCCACTGCATTCCCAGATGGTCATTGTCACAGTAAAGAAGATACCGTAACAAGTGGCATTATACAGAAAATAACACTGTATAGGACATAGTAATACCTAGGAATAAAATTCAATTAATGTAGCGCACATTTAAATGGATGTTGAACAAGCTAACCATTTTTTTCTTCCTTCTTACATGCTCCAATAAATAACTTGCAGAATTCCAGAAGAAAGTAATATTTATTCTGAATAAAAATGCCTGTAATGATAACAATGGGTACTCAGACTGAATTTTTAAAGTAAGTTTGATACTATAAAGAATTCAGCACTGTATGTCAACAGTAGCAATTTATTTTCATCCAATTAACAACATGTAAGGAGGAGTGATTTTTTTTTTTTACTGCAGACAGTTAGAAAGAGTGAAAGATACAACTGCTTGACAAATGAGGATTTCAACATTATTCACTAGGCATTAAGTGTTAGCTGTTGACAAGATTGGCACTGCTAATGCAGCCATTAAGGAAAGAACAAAGGACTGATTTGCAAAGGTCATAATTAGCATATTATCAAAAGCTGTGTTTCTACCTAATCTTGTGACCACCATAAAACAGTTTAATCCTCCTAAAAGCAAGCCAAACCAATTAGGTCCAAAGGTCTGTCTTATGTCAAAGAGATGTTTTACTGCTCTAAAATGCAAAACAAAAATGTTGGCAAAGATGTATCTTGATGCAGAACTTAAAAGTAGGAAACAGGATATGAAAGACAATCTAGCCCAGGGGTGTCAAACTCAATTTCATTGAGGACTATATCAGGCTTGTGTTTGAATGAAATAAAATTGGTTTGCCAAGATCTGTTTTTAACAAACCTGAGCTGGCTTTTAGTTATAACTTTATTTGTTTCTAGATATTCTCAGATCTGTTTTATTATCTTTTCCAGTATCTTCCCAGGTATTGATGTTAGGCTGATTTGACTGTAGTTTCCTGGGTCTATTTTTTTCTCTCCCTTTTTTGAAGATGGGGATCATATCTGCTCTTTTCCAATCCTCAGGTAATTGATATTATAGAATGGTTTTGAGATAACATCTGCCAGTTCCTTCAGAACTATGGGATATAATCCATAATGTCCAGGTGATTTATAATCATCAAGATCAGACAGGTTTTCTCTAACAATTTTCTTGCTTATTTTAATTTTTATTTCTAGTTTAGTTTCTATTTCTAGCTTTATAATATGATAGTAATACATGTCACCATATAATTTCAGGATTGGTGAATTGGTATTGTGAAGCATATGCCACAGTGTCAGAATTTGCAACTTTGGATACGGAAGAAAAAGCTTATTTCACCCCTTGGCAAGACTGAGTGGCTGCATGCATTTTATCCATCCAAGTTTGGAGATGTTTCAGCTTTAGCCCTTTATGAGGAGTTGCATTTTCCTCTTAATGACTGTTGTGCAATTTGGACTCTCGGCTATTTTTTGAGGAGCATGTGGCAGATGAGGCTCATACAGTGGCTTCATACATTCCCCTAGTGTACCAATTTTGTATTAAGAGAGCCTTATGATTATTATCATGCTTTGATAATGTAGTATGTGGATTACTGCAATTTGGTCCACATTTGCTCTTAAAAGTCCACTGGGAAATGCAGCAGGCAGCAGATTGCAGTGTTACCAGTGGTTATGAGCATGAAATGTATGGCCACATCACACCTTTGCTGTGTGAACTGCACTAGTTACTAGTAGGCTTCTGTTGAA